AACAGAAACATTCATCTATAAAATAATAATTGAACAGAAACATTCGTCTATAAAATAATAATTTAACAGAAACATTCGTCTATAAAATAATAATTTAACAGAAACATTCAAATATAAAATAATAATTGAACAGAAACATTCATCTATAAAATAATAATTGAACAGAAACATTCGTCTATAAAATAATAATTGAACAGAAACATTCATGTATAAAATAATAATTTAACAGAAACATTCATGTATAAAATAATAATTAAACAGAAACATTCATCTATAAAATAATAATTGAACATTATTTATCTGAGGAGCAGCTTTGAGTTTAACTCCATCACTGAACTCTCATCTTGAACAAGCATGAAGGCGACAGTGGAAAGAAAAACTCCCTCATGAGGAAGAAACCTTTAGCAGAACCAGGATCAGGACAAGAGGACCATCTGCTTCGACCAGCTGGGTTTGGTAGGAATAGATACACAATGGCAGGTCAAGACTCGCATGTTTAGAAATAGTAGCAAATGAAAACTATTCAGTTTTAACAATTCATTTAAGGAACTGAGGTCAGTTTGTCCTCTAGTAGTCTAAGTCTATAGCAGCATAACAAGCCGACCCTAACTATAGGATTTATCAAAAAGGAAAGTCTTAAACTGGACAATGTGTCAGTCTCACGGACAGAAACTGGAAGTTGGTTCCACAAGAGAGGAGCCTGAGAACTGGAAGATCTTCCTCCCATTCTGCTTTTGTAAACTCTAGGAACCACAAGTAAACCTGCAGCCTGAGAGCGAAGTGCTCTGTTAGTAAAATATGGAACAATAAGATCTGTAATATAAGATGGAGCTAGGTTGTTGAGAAACTGTTATTTATTATAACTGTTGTTGGAGCAGAAACACTTTGGACTGCAGTCATCTGGAGTGTGCATGTGCAGCTTCACACTTTGAGCATCTCACTCCTCTGTGGGGGTTCCTCTGAGAACCTCCACTCTGAGTCCTGGACTCAGAAACCTCCAGTTTCAGAGAGGATGAGGATGTTGTCTGTAAATGAACGTTTCTCGTCGTGTAAACGGGGCGGGGCCTCAGGCTGTCTGTCAATCAAGAGACACATTTCATAGAAGATGATCGGCTGACGTCTGTTTTTAATGTCATGGGATCTACCCATGATACCTTTGAGCTCGACGTACTGGGCACACTGGTTTACTGGCTGTAAAAAGAGGAATGTTCAGCTGTTGATGGAAAACTCCTGAGGTGCAGAAAGAGCAGGATCTGTGCTTTAATGGAGCCGAGGGCTCCAACATCTGACTCACAGCTGGAACCAGATGTTTGAGATGAAGAAACTTCAAAATGTTCCAAACAAACAGAAATTAAAAACTTTATTTAAAATCTCTGCAGGAAGTCCCACGAACCAGTGTGCAGGTTTATTATTAAAAATGTGAAGAAATAAAAGTTTAATACAAGACATTTAGATTAGACTTAAATCACAACATCCCAGCTGTCAGCACTGGGGGGGGGGGGGTGCATAAAACCAGCTTCAGTTGATAAAACCAGCTTCGGCTGATAAAACCAGCTTCGGCTGATAAAACCAGCTTCAGTTGATAAAACCAGCTTCGGCTGATAAAACCAGCTTCGGCTGATAAAACCAGCTTCGGCTGATAAAACCAGCTTCGGCTGATAAAACCAGCTTCATTCCGGCCCGGACCAAAGAGCCGGAGGAACATTTGTTCCACATCTTCTCCAAGACAACCTGAACTTCCTGCTCCGTCCGGAGGCCGAGGAAGAAGAGGAGACGGGCTCTGGACCAGCCCGGCTCCAGTCCAGACCCGGTGACGACCCCTCAGGTGTTGGCAGACAGAACAAAAACAAAACGTCTTACTTTGGACCGGCTGCAGCTGAAACGGGTCAAAACCATTTGTTTTCAGTTTAAAATAAAAACTTAAAGCTCACAAAATGTGAATAAAACCTTCAAAATAAAAGTTTGATCTTCTCAACGGATCAGTTTTGTTTTTTTTTTTCATCAGAACCGCTGGTTCTGAATGTGCTGATTTACAAAATAAAAGAGAAGTTTAACGACTGTTTCAAAATAAAATCCCGTCTAAAGACTGAAAAGTGTCCAGAAATGATTTTGATGTTCTGGAATAAACTTTAATCTCATTTTAAACAAACACGACAACATCAGATAAATCTCGTTAGTCACCTTAGACGAGCGGCGGGACGTCGGCGTCGCCCTCGAACTCCTCACCGAGCTCTCCTGGGCCAGCAGCTGGACCGGTTCTGGGCAGGTCCAGCAGACCTTGACGCTGTGGGACGATGGTGGAGACGTCCAGAGACGTGCGTGTGCTGGGGTCGACCTCCAGCCTCTCAGGAACTTTGTTCTCTCTGCACGTCAAAACAAGCAGGAAGCGCTCAGGCGGCCATTTTTACTGTCAAACCTGTTCTCGCGCAGATTTAGAGACAAAACACAGAAGAAGACGAGACACACGGGTCGGACGTTTGATTCTCTCCTCTCAGCTCCTTGTTGGTTTTCTGTGAAGACCCGTTTTAATTTAATGTTTGCTTGGTGGTGACGTACGGCAAGCAGCAGCATCATCAGCAGCAGCATCATCATCATTGTCATCAGCAGCAGCAGCATCATCATCGTCATCAGCAGCATCAACATCAGCAGCAGCATCAGCAGCAGCATCAACATCGTCATCAGCAGCATCAACATCAGCAGCAGCATCATCATCATCGTCATCAGCAGCAGCAGCATCATCATCGTCATCAGCAGCAGCAGTATCAGCATCATCAGCAGCAGCAGCGTCATCATCAGCAGCATCAACATCAGCAGCAGGCCTTCATTCCTCGGCCCGTTCAGACATTTGTTTATTAAAGAGGGAATAAATCAGCCTGTACAGGAAGGCACCAACAGAACCGGGCCAGCGAGGTTCTTCTGGACCGGTTCCCTGCCGACAGAGTTGTGGTGATGCTCATCGTGCGCCTGGATGTCAAAAGTTTGAGGGTTTTAAATTATTTTATGTTTTTTAACAAGTTAGAATTTATTGTGGATCTTCTGATTCTAACAGGATAAAAAATATATTTTTAAAATAAATTCACATGAATATTTTCAGTAGAGGTGCTGAAGGCTATAAAAGCTTTTAATTTGAAAAGGTAAGAGGCAGCTTGACTTCCTGGTGATTATGATTGACAGCAGCTGCTAGTTTCTCTTTGAATTAATCTGAAACCAATTCTTGGATGCCAGAGTCCCTGTCCACAGTGGAGACAGTTTATGTCCCCATAGACTGAGACAAGAGGGACACGTCAGACCTCAGAGCACAGAACCCGTCCTGTTGGGACATCTGGTCTCTGCGAGTCCATCAGGACGGGCCTGGACTCCTCAGTGATCACAAGACATGTTTCTGACAGACTCTCTCCTCAGAGTAGAAACATCTGGTTGTAAAAGTACAAATACTTGTTGTTAATATATAAATACTCATTATTAAAGTATAAACACTTGTTGGTAAAGTATAAATGTTGTGCAAGTATAAATACTTGTTAAAATTTAAATACTTGTTAAAGTATAATGACTATGTTAAAGTATAAATACTTGTTAAAATATAAATACTTGTTAAAGTATAAATAGGTGTTGTTAAAGTATAAATACTCATTGGTAAAGTATAAATGTTGTGCAAGTATAAATACTTGTTAAAATTTAAATACTTGTTAAAGTATAATGACTATGTTAAAGTATAAATACTTGTTAAAATTTAAATACTTGTTAAAGTATAATGACTTGATGTTAAAGTATAAATACTTGTTAAAGTTTAAATACTCAATGGTAATGATAATAATAATAATTTATTCAATTTGTACTGCACTTTACATTTTACAATCTCCAAGTGCTACAATATAAAATATCTAAAGAGAATAAAACGTGGACTAAAAAATGCTAAAAGCTAAAAAACTAAATAAAATAAATAAATAAAAAACTGCAGGAATAAAATACTTTTAAACACTATAAAATGTTTTAAATAAAAAGGTCTGCAGTCCTTTCTTAAAACTCTCTGTAGTCTGGGGTATCTTTAGATGGTCCGGGAGGTTGTTCCACAGACGAGGAGCAGCAGAGCAAAAGGCCCCGTCACCCATGGTGTCACCCATGGTGTCACCCATGGTGTCACCCATGGTGCACAGTTTGGTCCGGGGAGGGCGGAGCTTGTAGGAATTTGTGGAGCGGAGGGATCGTGTTGATGTCTGAGCAGTGAGCAGTTCTTTAAGATGGTGTGGAGCGTTGTCATGACTGGATTGGTGGGTGAGTCCTGGATTGGTGGGTGAGTCCTGGATTGG